CGGCGCCTCTGCCCGCCCTTCGGCGGATTCCTGAGCCCGCGCCAGGGGGAGGGACCCCGACCCCCCACTTCTCCGCCCCCGGCCGGCCACAGGCCCCCACCCGGTCCCCCGCGGCGCCGCCCGGAGCCGCCTTCCGGCGTTGGGCCAGGGGCCACCAACGCTGGATCTTGGGCCCATTGAACTTGGTGTCAGGCCCCCAGACTCACCAGGGTGCTCTCAGACCCTTACCGAAAATGCCATCCTGTGTACCTGGACCCTGCCTAATCAACGCCCCGGAATCTCATCCCGTGCATCCACATCTTAATCCCAGAGCCCCCAGACTCATGCTACGCCTCGTGGAATGTACTGCGCTCCTAGACCCCACCTAATCCTGGGACCTCCAGAGCCTCATTTTACTTCCTCCAGAATTTTATTCTGTGCTCCCAGCCATTCTAGACGGCCTCAACACTTCATCCAGACCCTCCAGATGCTCTCAAGCCCGAAACTGTCCATCCTTTTCTCTTCTGCCCTCCACCCCCACGGCTGTCTTCAGCCAGGTCTTCATTCAGCACGGCCTCCCCCGCGCTCTCCATCAGAAAAGCTATTACAACAGATTGGGGCGGGGGAGCAAATCCATTTTGGCCCCAAATGAATGGAAGCCCCTGAGAAGACCGGCAGGGGGGAACTTGGGCACGCAAGATTGCAGGGTCCCGAGCAAACCAATGTTTCTCGACCCTCTTCCCACCCGCAACCTGACGCGGGTTTCCGTCGCCTTCCCTTAGCGAAGGGTTTGTCCTCGGGGGCGGAGTCGGCTCCCAGGAAGGGGTGGGGCGCCTCTGTGCCCACGTCTCAGGGCGGGGCCATGACGGGAAGGGGCTGCGTGTCCAGGGATCCCCTGTCTGGTGCCAGATTGCTTGCGGGAATCGCTAGGCGCTTCCTTCGTTTTCACATCACCGCTTATCCCCACGAACGCTTTCAACGTGGCCCCGAGGTGGCGTCGTGCCAAGAAGGGGAGGTGCTGGTTGGTCCAGGGGTGAGCCCTTGAATTCAGGATGAATTTCTGAGCCTCTCCTCAAACAGCCCTGCGCACCGCCACCGCCTTCTTCCCAGCAGCTGGGGTGAAGAGGTTAGAAATAATAGTTCTTTAAAACCAAAAAGACAGCCAATAACAAGTGTTGGCGAGGATATTGAGAAATTGGAACACTCATACACTGTTGGTGAGAATGTAAAGCGGTGCAGCACTGTGGAACAGAGTCTGGCAGTAGTTAAAAATGTTACTACATAATCCAGCAATTTCACTCAGAGGTAATATACCCAGGAGAATTGAAGATGTATATGGGGCCAGCAGATGGTGTGGCGGTTAAGGTGCTGGAATTTCCACATGGGATACTGTGGTTTGAGTCCTGGACCTGGTGACTTGGTTTCTAACTTTCCCTCCCTTTCTCTGGCAAAACTCATGTGAAATAAATAAATTAAATAATTCTCTTTTTTGGGGGGGGGAGAGATTTTCACTATAGGGCGTGTGCACTTGCCAGACGGACAGAGAGAGACATAGAGACGGAGAGCGAGAAATCACCCCCCAGGGAGGATGGTCATGCTGCAATCCCTTCTCCTCCATTCTCTTCTTGGGATCTTGGGCACGCACACACACGCGCCCGGCGTGAGTTTTAAGCCACCGGGTCCGGGACGCGAACCGCAGTCAACTATGTGGGAGTCCAGCGACATAGCCATAAGTACTGATACATGTTAGAACATGGAGGGGATCAGCAGGTGGCATGGCGGTTAAGGATGCTGGAGTCTCACATGGCTGACCGTGGTTCAATTCCTGGACCTGGTGGCTTACTTTCTCTTCTCACTCTTGCTCTGTCCTTCTCTGGTCAAATTAAAATAAATAAATAAAGTTAAATAAAATAATTATTTTAAAATAAAAGAATATAGATGCATTTTGAAAATATGAAGGGTTTTTAAAAAATTCATGATACATGCACGTGAAAAACTATGTATGAATTTCAGTTTTATGTATGTATGTATTAGTTTTTATCACAGCATGCATGCACTCACTGGAGAGAGATAGGAACAGACAAAATGAAAAAAATCACCCCTCAGAGGGGATGGTTACAGTACAATGCCTTCTCCTCTATTCTCCTGTTGGGGTTTTGGGCACACCTGCTTATACACTGGGTGTGATTTTCAAACTGCCAGGTCTGGGGCTCAAACCATGAACTGCTATGGGGAGTCCAGGCCTTTAACCACTGCCCCACATGCTGGTGCCTGGATTTCAAATTTGTTGTGCTAAAAATAAATTTGAAGTGTAATTCCATTTTTTTTACACATTTTTAAAGTCCCCCTGCTAGGTGGAAGAAGCCAGAAACAAAAGGCCATATACTCCATTTGTATGAAATATCTAGAATGAGCAAATCTATGGAGATCAAAACTAGATCAACGGTTGCTAGGGGAAGGAGGAAATGGAAAGTAACTGCTAATGAGTATGAGATTTCTTTGGGGATGACAAAAGTGTTCTGAAATTAGAGAGTGGTGATGGATGTGCCATTATGCACATATACTAAAAACCGCTGAAGTGTACACCACTGAAGAATGAACTTGATGGTATGTGAACTACATCTCGATAAAGCTGTTATTAAGAATTTATAAAAATAGGCACCAGCAGTTAGCGTAATGGCTATGTCGCTGAACTCCCATGTAGCCGACCATGGTTCGAGTCCTAGACCCGGTGGCTTGACTCACGCCAGGCGTGTGTGTGTGCGTGCCCAAGATCCCGAGAGGAGAATGGAGGAGAAGGGATTGTGGTGCGTGCCCAAGATCCCGAGAGGAGAATGGAGGAGAAGGGATTGTGGTGTGGCCATCTCCCCTGGGGATGATTTCTCACTTTCTATCTTTCTGTCTGTCTCTGTCTTTCTGGTGAGTGCATGTGACCTATAGCAGCCTTGGACCTATAGAAAAAACCCCCCCAAAAAAAAAAAAAAAAAAAAAGAGTTTATAAAAATAGGGGCCGGCAGGTGGCATAGTGGTTAAGGGGCTGGATTCCTACATGGTTGACTGAGGTTCTAGTCTCAGACCCAGTGACTTGAGATTCATGCCAGACAGGTGTTTGTGTATGCCCAGAATCCCAGGAGGAAGATGCAGGAGAAGGGATTGTGGTGTGGCCATCCTCCCTGGGAGGTAATTTCTCACTTTTCCTGTCTCTGTCTCTCTGGCAAGTGCACACACACCCTATGACAAAAACCCTAAGTAATAATAATAATAAGGGGCTCCTAATTATCAAGATCTGACTGTTCCAGGGACTGGTGTACTTAACACAATCCTCCTGACAAGCCAGGGAAGGGGTCCTGCTATCACTCCTTTTCACAGACAAGGGAGGCTGAAAGATTTGTCCTGAGAGCAGCCAGAGTTAATAAGGACAGGATTTGAACTCCAAGACTCTCTGGGCCATTTGTCCCATATCAGAGTGATAAGGACCCACCATGTAAACACTCACTCTGTGTCAACCAGGGTGGTAGGTGCTCCACTTTAAGTGTCATTTCACTCAAGCCTCGCTGAGGAGAAAGGTCACTGCCACTTGGAGATGAGGAGCTAAGGCCTAGAAGAAGATGACTAAGGGACCAGCAGTTAGTGTAATGGCTATGTCGCTGGACTCCCATGTTGTCAACCGCGGTTCGAGTCCTGGACCTGGTGGCTTAAACTCACACTGGGCACGTGTGTGTGCGTGCCTAAGATCCTGAGAGGAGAATGGAGGAGAAGGGATTGCAACATGGCCATCCCCCCTGTGTGTGTGCGTGCCTAAGATCCTGAGAGGAGAATGGAGGAGAAGGGATTGCAACATGGCCATCCCCCCTGTGTGTGTGCGTGCCTAAGATCCTGAGAGGAGAATGGAGGAGAAGGGATTGCAACATGGCCATCCCCCCTGGGGGTGATTTCTTGCCTTTCTGTCTCTCTCTTTCTGGCGGGCGCATGTGCCCTATAGCGAAAACCTCTCCAAAAAAGAAGAAAGAAAAAGATGACTCAGTTCACAGATGGTGGCTCCAACTTGGATCTGAAAGTCCATGTTTGCACTATTAGGCCTAGGCAAGCCTGCCCCTTGGAATCGCCTCCTGAGAACACCTCTACTGACTTCTACAGCCCCGGTGACTCCTTGCCCTTACCTGTGCTGCTTGGGGCCTCCTGACTCTTGTTCTGCCCCTCTCGGATGTCCTGGGCACCAAACCCCCACTTAAGCCTTGGGCCTCCAGATTCTCACTTTACTCCCAGAACTGTCTCTTCTCTATTCACTGTAGTGAAAAGCAGCAGCCACATCAGGCGGAGGGTTCCAGCCACAGAATGGAGGGAGGCAGGGAGGAGCGGCACCAGAGGCCAGTTCCGGAAAGGTAGCACTTGGGCCGGCTGGTGGCGTGGTAGGTGAGGCAGCTGGATCCCACGTGGCCTGCTGTGTGATTGAACCTCTGACACTGCAGCTTGAGAAATACGGGGATGTGTGCTTGTGTGCCCAAAATCCCCAAAGGAGAGAGAAATGGAGAAGGAATTGTAGAGTGACTGTCCCCCATGGGAGGGGTGCTTTCTCTTCTCTGTCTTTCTCAGGTGAGTGAGTATATGTGCCCTCTCACAAAATTAAAAAAATAAATAAAGATGACATTTTTTTTTTTAGAGGTTTTTGCTATA